CTCCCAAGAGGGTCCTTTTTTGTTCAACCTGCAAAAATCACTTCCGCCGTGACTTTTTCTGCCTGAAAGACTAACCGGGGCAGGATGAATGTTCTGGATAGTGTCTTTTTCAGCCGGGGTGGGGGTTGGGGGGAGGGAGGCTTTTTTCTGATTTTGAGTTTCGGACCACACCCCCAGCCCCTTCCAGCTCCTGCCTGCTCTATGTCATGAACGAGGGGCATGTTTCCTATTTTCCTCACTGTTTTAAATGCCTGAGAACCCTCTTGGGGTGCAGCACAAGTCACCTTGATAGGATGCTTGGACCAACTGCTCCTTTCTACGTTCCTGGGAATGTGTGTGCATGTGGGTGTGTATATTTGCTGCTTCCTCAGTTGTCCTGTGTAATGAAGGAAGCCCAGTGAACACTGACCGGTAAAGCTCCGTGGAAGTCTAGCCATTCAAGCTCCCAGAAGCCCTCATGGAGACCCTGCCCACGTCCCCTCTCTATCTCCTTCAATCTGGTTCCGTGGATGCTCCCATTTATAGAGGTTATTTTAAATAGGCACATGATAGTCCTTCTCTTTGAGCAAAAGGCTATTTTTTAAAAACTGAGCCCAACTAAATAGTCAAGGAACACTTTGCAAAAACAGCATTGTATGAAGGCTATACAATTCCAAATCTATTGCTTTCACAGAAGGCGGGAGATTTAGGGGGGAAGCTGTATTCTTGTCACAATAAATTCTTGTGGACCCACAGGACAGGGGTGGGGCAGGAGCTCCCTAAGTGGTATGAGAAGGCTTTCCAAACACGACCAGAGAGATAGGGGAAAGAGCAAGGGTTTAAGAGAGAGAGTGAATGAGAGAGAATGAGAAAGAGAGAGGGGAACATAAGTGTGAGGGAGGAACATTGATCCATTGCCCCTGTATTCTCCCAGCCGGCAATCAAATCCACAACCTAGGTATGTGCTCTGACCGAGACCTTTTGGAGCACAGGATGATGCTCCAAGCAACTGAGCCATTTATTCATTTTACCATTGATGGACATTAAAATATTTCTTGGCTATTACCAAAAAAAATCTGTTGTGAATATACAAACTTTTAAGATTGTAGATAAAATACCCAATGGGAACAATCACATCACCTGCGAATCATGAGAGTTTTGCGGGTTTTCCCCCCCTTTCCCAGCCTTGTTCCTTTTTTCTTTTTCTTCCTGATTTTAAAAGCCTTCTCTGTTTCATTATTAAAAATAATGGTTTCCTGGAGATTTATGATGACTCCCCTTATCTGATTAAGGAAGTCCCTTTCTATTCTGAGCACGGTCAATTTTTTAAACATTATAAATAGGTATTTTGAATTCCATCAAATGTGTTTTAATTATCTATTGAAATAACCATATTGTTTTGTTCTTTTAATGTGCTAATATAGCAAATGATAATTACAGATTTTCTGACGTTAAGCCTTATAGTCCTGGAATAAACCCAGCTTAGTCACGATGTGGTATCTTTTTTCATGAAGTGCAGTTTTCATTTTGCTAGTGTTTGTGTATGATCACTGCCTTTATGTTCACGGATGAGGCTTCTCTATAATTTTTCTTTATTACGTTTTTCGAGTTTCAGTATCAAAGGTATAGTGGACTCAGAATAAGTTGGGAAGTATTCTCCTTTTTTTTCCCCTCAAATGATTTGCATAAGATTAGAATATTTCCATGAATGTTTGGTAGAATTTACCTGTAAAATCGTCTGGCCTGGTGATTTGTTGTAGGAAAATTAAACAGTTGATTCGCTTATTTTAAGGGTTATGAGCTATTTGGACTTTTTATTTCTTTTTGAGTTGGTTATTTTTAAGGAAATATGTTAATTTCTTCTAAGTTAATGCATCTTTATGCATTCTTTGGCTTATAATTTTCTTATAGTACATTCTTATCTTTTTAGTCTCTGCTGCATCTCTCATTAAATCTGCTTATTTTCAATATTATTTGCATGTCTCTCTTGAACTCTGCTGGAAGCTTGCCAATTTTATTCATGTTTTCAAAGAAGCAACTTTAATTTTTTGTTAATCACATCCATTACATCTTTGTTCTCTATTTGATTAATTTCTGCACTTAGTTATCTTTAAATTTATTCTGTTGTTCTTTTTCTAATTTCTTAAGTTGTGTGACGAGCTCATTAATTTTCATCTTTTCTTCTCATATTAATAAGCATTTCAATCTGCATTTCTGTTACATTATCTTTCTCACTGCCTGCTCTGAGCCTTGGTATATTGTATTTTCATTATTGTCTAGTTCCAAATATATTTAAATTTTTCTGTTTTTGAATCCACAAATATTTTAAAGGACACCCTCACATGAACAAAGCAGGAGGTATCACATTATCTGCTTCAAATTATACTACAGAGCAATGATAATCAAAACAGCCTGGTGTTGGCAGAAACACACACACACAGACCAATGGAACAGAACTGAGAGCCTAGAAATAAACCCACACATACATGGGCAAATAATTTTTGACAAAGGAGCCAAAAACACACAATGGAGAAAAGAAAGTGTCTTCAATAAACGGTGCTGGGAAAATTGGAAAGCCACATGCAGAAGAATGAAACTAGATCATAGTTTGCCCCCATGTACAAAAATTAATTCAAAATGGATCAAATACCTAAATATAAGATATGAAACAATAAATTACATAGAAGAAAACAGATACTAGACTTATGGACCTTGATCTTAGAGGAGATTTTATGAATTTAACCCCAAAGGCAAAGGAAGTAGAGGCAAAAATAAATGAATAGGACTGTATCAAACTAAAAAGTTTCTGCACAGCAAAAGAAACTGCCACCAAAACAAAAAGGCAGCCAACTGAATGGAAGATGATATTTGCAAACAACAGCTCTGACAAGTGATTAATATCCAAAATATATAAAGAATGCATACAACTCAACACCAAGCAGCAAACAATCCCATTAAAAAATGGGCAGAGGATCTGAACAGATGCTTCTCCCAAGAAGACATACAAATGGCCAACAGATATGTGAAAAGATGCTCAACTTCACTAGCTATTTGAGAAATGCAAGTCAAAACTGCAATGAGATACCATCTCTCACCTGTTAGAATGGCTCCTATCAACAAGAGAAGTAGTAACAAGTGTCGGAGAGGAGGTAGGGAAAAAGGAACCCTTATTCACTGCTGCTGGGAACGTAAACTGGTACAGCCTTTATGGAAAGCGATATGGCAATTCCTCAGAAAATGAGTAGAGTTAGCTACCATATGACCCAGCAATCCCTATTCTGGGTATCTACCGGAAAAACTTGACAAAATTTATTTACAAAGATATATGCACCCCTATGTTCATTACAGCCCTATTGATGGTGGCCCAGACAAGGAAACAACCAAAGTGTCCTTTGATCGAGAACTGGATAAAGACGACGTGGTACATGTATACTATGGAATACTACTGGCCATAAGTAAAGGTAGAATACTGCCACTTGTGACAATATGGATAGACATTGAGAATATTATGCAAAACAAAATAAGTCAGAACGAGCTAAGAACCATATGATCTCACTCATGTGGGATGCAACACTGAAACTCATAGGCACAGACAACAGTATGGTGCTTCCCAGAGGGGAGGGGGTGGGGATCGGTGGGGGGGGCGGTAAGTGGGGCCGAAGAGCTGGTGAAGGAAGATGATTTGATCTGGGCTGGTGGACACACAGCACAACATACAGGTCACCTGTCATAGAAATCTACACTTGAAACCTGTATAATCTTATTAACCAATGTCACCCCACTAAATGCAATAGAAAGTAAGTAAATATAAGATGAGAATGTGACTCTCACACTGACCTCTGAACAAAATCCCTTGCCAGGTTACCTTTCATGTCATTTCAAAAATACTCATACGACAAAAATCTTCCCGTGGGACCTATTCTATTTCTCTCTCTTTTAAAGATAAATGTTACATTAGGGGCTCCAAAAGCAAACTTTTAGAAATGTTTTGATAGAGCCTTCAAGATGTGGTGGGTTACATTCTAATTGGCTTCTGGCTCCTTCCTCTTAACACGTCGTGGTTCTGAATCCTGTGTGCTGAGTCATTCATTCAGAGCCCGGTGAGGTTAATTAGACACAATGTGGGCAGGTCAAATGACATCATATACCTCCAGCAAAAGAAAAAGAGGAGAAAGCAGGGGGCGGGGGGGCTAGACGGATTCCAATAGATTTTTGTTCCAAAAAGACTGGATAATACTGACGAAAAGGGGAAACAAAATCAGAACAAAAGGCTGCCGTGACCTCTTGGATAGTGGCCACGGGGGAACCGTCAGCGGTCGTGCCAAAGGAACTGTAAACATTTTCTGTCCACGTGTGGAGTGGAGACCAAAGCAGCTCATAATCTGGAAGGAACTAGAGAGAGCCGTTTCTAGAAACATTTCACAGAACACCCGTTCCATGGAACGCTCTGAGAAAAAAGAAGGGCCTTACGTGTGAAAACCACTAGCTTAGACAAATCCGTTTCCTTACTGCGGGCCTTTTCAGGGCCTTTAAAGTTTCCATGTGTGCTATAAACTCCCAGGGGGGTGCAGTGTGTGCGGGGGTGGGGGGGTGGTCCCCAGCTCTGCTTGTTTACAGATCCCTCCCAACTGCCCCCTGCCCTCCGCAGGAGACTTCTTAGGACTGGCACTTCACACTTCACCCTTTCCTAAGTTCTGGGAGAGGGCATGACATGACACAGAAGTAGTTCTCCTCTTGTAGGGTTTTCTCTGGTGCCTCCAAGATGCCCCAGATGTGTGCTTCTAAGGTTACTTGAGCGCTAAATGAATATATTCTATATGCAGCAAAGTTTACCAAGACAAGGGGTTTTCTTAAAATCCCCAAACTTCTACTCCCAAGCTTCTCAGCCCTCCAAATGAATCCATAAACTAGTTCTTGAGAGGAAACTGCAGCTATTTTATATATTTTTAAAAATCAATGCTCACTTATCAGATTATAAAAGGAGTCGCAGCGCCACAGCTCCCAGCCGCGGGGGCTGCCCGCTATTCGCCCTCAGGTTCCCAGTAGCCCCCCTGGGGCTGGCCAGCGAGGAGCTGGGCCTTCCCCGCCGGCCGATCGAAGGCGCTGTTGTCCCTCCTGGAGACCCTTTTGGAATTTCTCAAAGGTGGCCTCTTTTTCTCGGGAGAGCTGCGCCATCCTCTCCTCCTTTTGCCTAATGGCTTCCTTGATGCCCTCGACGTGGCTCTTTTCCTCCTTCTCGGCTTTCAGCTTTAGGATGTGATGATTCTTTTCCCGCAGAATGTGGAGCTCTCGGAGGTGCTGCGCTTTGTCCCTGACGCTCTTGTGCACGTGGTTCCTGGCCTGCTGGATCCTGTGGTCCGCCAGCTCCACCAGTAGCTGCTTGCGTGCTTTCCTCTGCTGCTCCAGCTCTTCCGCGCGCAATTTGACCTGCTGGTACTGCTCCTCATCCCTTCGGATCTTGTCCCTCAGCTCTCGGTTACGCTCCTTAATCAGGCCCCGGGAGATCTCTTGGGACCGCTGGGAACTCTGCTCCAGCGACAGCTTCCGCAGGAGCTCCTCGGCCTTGGCCTGGCAGTCCATGAGCACCTTCCGGGCCTGGTAATTGACTAGGGAGCTGAGGTTGGCTTCCCGGGCTTTCTTCTGGCCCGCAGCGGTGGGCAGCTGCTTCTTGCGACGGGCCTGCTCCATCCTCTTCTGCACCTCCAGGCTGTCGGGCCCCTGCCGGCCCTGCGGCATCTCCTCGTGGTCCTGGGGACCCTGCCCCTGCGTCCTGAGCTCGGCTTCAGGGCGGGCCCTCTCTAGCTTGTCTTGGCGCTGGGTCTCCTGGACCCCCGATGGTGCCTTCCCCTGGTTCTCCTGCTTCTCCATGTTCTTGGCTTGGCTGTCCCGAGGCCAGGAGACGCGCTGCTCCAGGCTCGGACGAGTCTTGTGCTGCTGCTGCTTCTCCCCCAGCCACTGGGCCCGGTTCTGCCGCAGGAGCAGCTTGCGCTCCCTCTCCAGGGTCAGCTGGACCTTCTGGTCCGAGCGCTTGAGCTCCTCCCAGGCCACCGCCGCCTGCTGCTGCAACTCCCGCATCCTCTGCGCCTTCTTCAGCCGGACCAACACCAGGGCCACAATCTTCTGGTCCCTGGAGGACACCACGGCCTCTTCCAGCTTGTTCTGGAGGATCTGGGTGTGCCGGCTCTTCATCTCCTTGTTGGAGATGCGGGGCTGGGAGTGCTGGCTGGCTAATGACACCTCCCGGTCACTGCTGTCCCTCTTTGGGGAGCACACACAAGCGGACAGCATCCTGAACTCTTGGGAGGGTGCTGACGACTTCTCCGAGGGAACTGAGGAAAGGGACCAGCGACCTAGACTTCCACAGGCCGGCACTGCCCACAGATCTCCGCTCTGCCCGTTTTCTGCGCGGAAAGTTCCACCTAACGGAGTGCAAGCGTCCTCGGGGGCCGGTGGGGGCGAATCTCCTTGGCCCGGAGGGCAGTGCTGGCAGAGCGGGGGCTGGTGCCGCCAGGCCGAGCTGTGCTGGCTGCCCCGCACCGGCTGGGGCTGCGTCCTTGGCTCCCCCCAGGCGTCTGGAACGCGACAGCTGCGGGGCCTGTGCTTCCTTCTGCGGTCCAGGGACCTCCTGGCCACATCGCTCAGGCTGCGGCTTTCCCTCGGCGAGTCGGGGGACCGGGGTCGGCGAGGCCGTGGCGTGGGCGAGCAGCACGGGGGCGTCCAGGGAGCCGTCGTCTCGCTCCCCTCGTCCGGAGACCCGGCCCAGGAGCCCCGCTCCGACTGGGTCAGGTGCCCCGGCCTGCGCAGCCGTGCCGAGGACGCGCGCTCTCTGCTGGGCTGCTGGGGCTCCCAGAGGTCCGGGTAGGGCCGCGAGAAGCTGCGGAAGCCCTCCATGCGCCTCCCCGTGCGCCCAGCACTCGAACCAGGATCCCGGGGCCTCCAGGGGGCGCTGCCGAGACCCGCTCTGCCCTCGCATCAGGGAGTGAGGGTCGGTCGGGGCGCTTGTGACGCTGGGCCACTTCACAATGGTCATGGCGCGCCACCCACCCCGGCCTCCCTAGAACCCCTCGGGGGAGTAGGGGTCAGGAGGCTGAAGGCGGGCTCAGGGGACATGAGGATGTGTAGGAAATCCAGGGTGAACCTTAAGGCTGAGGGTGCTTAATGAACCGCCACCAGTATTTTAGGCAGGAATTTGATCTTGCATCTGTACACCTTGAAATAGCAGGCTTCTAAAAGAATCGGGGTGAAGGCATCACCTCCAGAAGGAAGGGTCCGGGCGCATTGGCGGGGGTGCGGTGGGTGGGGGGGCGGTGAGGAGTTCCCTGAGTAATCCTTAGGTGACCTTAGGGTCACCCACCCTGCCGTCGTGCACGTCCACTGAGCGTGCAAGCGAAGCGGCTGCGGACGCTCATTAATACGATGCACCACAGTTTAGACGTTTTTAAGTACAGATTATGTTTTGTTTACTTTTTTAAACTTTAGAACAGGAAATAGATTAGTTCCTCCCCCCCGCCCCCCATGGCAATTGCTGATTTTGTAAAAATAGGAATATGGTGTTCACATTTCTGAAACAGCACCAGCGAACACCGGGCTGAAACCATTATTTATTGTGGTTTTTTTCTCCCTTTTCTCCAATTGTGTGGGATTATTTTCTTGCTCAGGTACCCTGGGCTAATGGTAAAAGCATTAGATTTGAACCTCTGTGTGGTCCTGGGCTTGTTTTCTACTCTTCCTGACCCTCAAGTCTGGAAAACTGGAATTCAGGGCAGTCTGGAGGGCCAGATGAAATTATGTAGCAAGAGCTTAGCAGCTTGCTGCCTTTAACAAATATTATTTTGATGTTCTGCTAGGCTGCAGTTAAAAATTGTAAGATTTAACATCTAGGTTTACAAAGGTTTCTACAGATTCCTAGATTAAGAAAAGAAGAACAGAGTCAAGATAATCCTAAAACCGTTTAGGTAAAAGGTAGCGCCAGGGAGGGTCGATCCCCACAGTCTGTCACATTCGTCACATGGATATTGGCCAAGTCACTTTCCTTCTCTGGGGTGCAATGAGGAAATAGTTCTGGATGACATCCTCCAAAAAGGTCACTCTTTGGAGAAGGAAAATGAGTATTTACTCACCCCAGTCCTCTATACTCACACCTCCTTGGAGTTTCACTGTAAACCCAGCTAGATGGGACTAGGAGAATTGACAATATTTCCTTAGGACAAATCTGAGACTGACCATGTTAACTCACTTCCTCTAAGGTCACTGGGTCAATGGCAGGAGTCGACTTCAAACTCCCCGCTCTTCCCATAACATCATGCTGTCTCTCAGGAAAGCGCTTTGAACTGACACGTGTGTTGTGGATTAGATATTTGCATCCCCGCCAAATTCATATGTGGAAACCTTACCCTCAACATGCTGGCATTTGGAGGTGGGGACTTTGATAGGTAATTAGATTTAGATGAGGTCATGACGGGATTAGTATCCTCATAGGAAGAATAAGGGACCAGCGCTTGCTCTGTCTGCCATGTGAGGACATGGCCAGAAGGTGGCTGCCTCTAAGCTGGGAAGCGAGCCCTCACCAGAGCTGAGTGCGCCAGCACCTTGATCTTGGACTTCCCGGTCTCCAGGCTGTAAGAAATAAATATCTGTTGTTTAAGCGACCCAGCCTGCGGTGTTTTGTTATAGCCGCCCGCGCTGCCTAAGATGACGTGCTTTTAAGAAAATTATGACCAGATGTGCACTAAAGAGTTATGGCGGCCCTGTCTGTGAATGAGGGGGCAGTGCAGAGGGACTGGGCCCTCCCCAGGGGTGCACTCTGCCTGGTGGGACCTCCTGTGCAGTCTCTGGTACCTCTAGGGCTGAGGATAAATTGTTCTGCCCTCCAGTACCACTCACACACCATTGTTACAGAAGTGATTTTGTGATTGTAATTTTTATGAAGAGGCGGCTTTAAAGAAAATTAAGTCAAAGTGGAAATGAAAGCATTTAATTTTAAGTTAGGAACTATCCTGCATGAACTGAGTTGTGCTGTTACCTGAGGGTCATAGGCGTATGTTCCAACTTGGTGAAACATTTTGCACACCCGAGTGTGGCTCTGGCCGCGGCATCGCAGAGAAGCAGTGTTGTGTGTGGGGGAAGCACATCCAAGAGCAGAGGTAGGTGAGCCTGGTGCGCAAACTACGGAGTCAGAGGGAGAGAGGACCGAGCCTGCACTCCGGGGAGAGAGCAGAGTGACGTCCTAGTAGTCAGTGGAAGAGAGCTGTTTCTGGAAAAAGCAGACACCTGGAAGGTGGGCTGGACCTGGCTTCCACAGGGCCTAAGGAACACGGGCTTCCCACCGAGGAGTGGGGTTCTGGCTGTTCCAGAGAGTTCCGGGATTCCTGGCAGCTGTCTTAGGCCCATAGAGGGTGGAGCTGGAGGACTTCAGGGCAGGTTCTGAGGCCTCTCTCTGTGCCTCTGTCCCTGTCTCTCTGTCCCCAGAGCAGTCAGGTTTTATCTGCTTTAATATCCTGGGGCTCCTAGTAACATCTCATTGAAAACACTTGGGATTCTGCTTATAAGAAAGTGGAAATCCACTATGTAGACAATGAGAGGTCAACAAAAGTCTTGAAACCAGAAGATTTCGGTGTGTATTTTAGAAAGCTCACCTTGGCAGTGTTGTGGCAGAAGAACTGGGGGGCAAGGGGCAGGACATGGAGGCAGGGCTCCAGCTGGGAGTTTGGTTCAGTAACCCCGACCGGCACGTAGGACGCATGAACCGGGACAGTGGCAGGGGGACGGGAAGGGGTAGAAGCAAGGCACAGGTCAAAGGTCAAAGGACCATGACCTGAAGGTGAATTTGATCGGGAGAAAGAGGGTTTACTAACCTGGGGCGCCTGGGCAGATGGTGAGTGGCCATGACGAGGGGTTTCCCTCTAAGTGACATTGAAAACGGTCATCGCGGGAAGTCAGGTGAATGGAGCTGTAATAACAAGCGAACCCCTCACAGAGCAGCGAGCAGAACGTCTGGGAGAGACCGACAAACGGGGAAGGGACCCTTTTCCTCTGAGAGACCAGGTGAGCAGGGACGGTCTCCTCACCTGCATTGTTAGCGTCTGATGAAGACCCCGGGGAGGATGACAAGCCAGGAAGGCTCCATTAGCTCTTCCGGGAGGGAGAGGAAAGAGATGTTTTTCCACTGTTAAGCTGCCAAGCAGTCCCTTGATACTAAGAACAATCAGCCTCCTTTTTATTTGGCAGGAAGATCCTCAGTGTACTTCATTGGAGGCCTCAGAATTGGGATCTTCTGCCAGATGAATACCTGGGCCTCTTCTCACGTGGAAAATACGGCAAAGTGTGCCCTGCTTCTATAGTGTGGGTTACCCTATGGAACAGAAATGTGCTCCGGGCCCTGGCCCAGAGCGACTGTCCGTTACTGCGGTGACTTCCGCTTCTGTCTCTTAGCGAGGCCCCAGCCCTGCGGTGGGTCAGAGAGCTGCCCTGTCCAGTAACAGCAGCCAGCGGCCACACATGGGGATGAGCCCTGGAACGCAGGGCCGATGGGCGTGTGCTGTAAGTGTAAAGGACACACTGGATTTCAAAAACTTACGATGAAAAAGAAAAGTAAATGTTTCAACACTTTTTTTATATTGGTTACTTGTTGAGATGGTATTTTGAATACAACGGGTTGAATAAAATATATTATCAAAATTAATGTCACATGTTGCTTGTTTTAATGGGGCTACTAGTAAACAAAGTCACACATGTATGTGACATATGTTACGCTGTGTTTCCATTGGCCAGCACTGCTGGAGATAAATGTTTCCAGTACTCATGTGGTTGTGACAGCTTTCAACATCTACATAGCTTATATTACATGTAAATGCTTTGCTTTGAAATCATCCTTTTCTAAGAAGATAATATTTGGGTCAGAAGGCTTTTATTTTCCTTAACGGCAGGATGGTAGGTAGGATAAATGATCAATTATTGAAATTCAGCCTTGCAGCAGTTTCCTAGGGATTCAGTTCTTTCAAGCCCCACTTTTACTTTTCCCTTACTACACAGGAAAATGGATGCCCCCAAGTGACAGTAGACAGGGCCCCCTCTCCAGGTGCCTATGAGAGATAGGGACTCATCAAAAATAGCAGACCCACAAAAGAGTAAAAAAAAAAAAAAAGTCTTATGTAAACACCCAGGGCAGTAAATGAAAAACTTAATGTTAATACAGTATTAAGGATGAAAATGGTAGATTATAATAGCTTCTTTTTTAGAAAAGCAGAAAATGGGGGATAAGGGCCTGGGAAATATGGAAGTTAAGTTCCCATGGAAACACTCATTTACCCACAATGCAAATATTCCATGTGCATGAGAGCCCGTGTGTATAAAAATGGTGGCTGACACATACTAAGCACATGTTGGAGCATTGCTATAAGTGCTTTGTATGTCAACCCTGCCACAAGAGGGCAAAGTGGGGACTGTTCTTTCCTGAGGGTCAGAGGGAGAATTCCCAGATAAGATGGGCAGTGGAGCTGGATCGAATCCAGTCTCAGCTCACCCTCCCCGCGCATGGTCTTCTGAGCTAACATTGCATGATTATAGCCAGACAAAAGCATATGTGGACAGGGGAGCGGGAGAGGATTCAGAATATTTCTAGTTTGGTCACATCTTAAGACTTTGGTGTGTTCCCACATTTGTAACCTTAATAATGCCATTAAGATCTGGAGACGGTAAGTAACCAGTTCTTAGGAAGAAAGGAAGGACTCAAAATAAGTACTTTCAGAGCTGAAAGTGAGTTCACTTCTACGGGGAGATAACAGGATGCAATTACAGAATCACTCAACAGTGACACGGAAACACCAGACTGCACAATGAAGTTATTGGTTTTTGAAATTTTATCACAAATAGTTTGTAATGTTAAGCATAAGAAAAGGTTTCCCAATGGGAACTTGAGAAAACTGTTGCACTTGAATAAGTTTTCTCATTTGGAGTTATTTCTTCATCCTCAACATAACATAGATATTATATTAGATATTTTTTAAAAGAATGCGTTTTGCTGAAACTTTTTAAAAAATGTGTGGGTGTTGAAAAGTTCTGCGCTTTGTTTTATTTTATTTTTTTCTGTTTGGCTAAAATTGAGTCTGGAGTTTTTAACTGCCAAGGAAATTTGTTTTTCGGAAAGGTGTCAGTGAGGGACGATAGCTCCACAACAACCCGGTGATGGATGGCGTGCTGCGACCGCTGACTCTGCGTGTGCCGTGACGCGTGGCGCGTTCTGACGTGGGGTACACTGGGGCTCCTTGGCTGACGCGATCGGCGGGGTAAGCACCCTCAGCCCGCTCAGATTCCAGCTCCCGTGGGCTTACATGCTCTGGAAAGATTTTTAGTGGGCATCTCAGAGTGTTCTTTTCACTCAAAGCCACCCCCTTCCCCACGGGGCTGGCGTAGGAGCTTGGCAACCATGGCTGGCTCTCTCTGTGAACTGCATGGAATGGTGCTTTCTTCAAGCCCCGGTCCGAGGGGAGGCTTCTCTGACCCTCTGACCAGGTGAAATCCTCCACTGTCCACTCACAGTGCCCTCTGGGCACTGGGCTCTCTCCTGGGTCCATGGCGGGCCTCCAGTTGAGGGCCATGTGAAGCCTGAAATGAACATTCTATATATATCATAGGAGTGCATTGTATGCCATGTGGTGAAGTAAAATATGTCTCTTACCTCAAGTTGCATAAAAAAAGTTGTGTTTCTCTAGAAGTGTCCCTTTATAGTTGAGGAGGCCAAGACTGATATCCCAGAAGTGAGGTCTATTGGCTTCTCAGCCTCGTCTTGATTTCTCTGTCCTATTTGGCAGTGGAGTCCACCTACTATTGGAATTCTTTTTCCCTTTGCTTTTCTTTTTCTTTTTTTCTCTCTTCTCTTCTCTCTTCCTCTTTTCTTCTGAGAGCTACTTCCACAGAAAGAAGTCCAAGTGTTCCCTGACTAGCGTGGCTCAGTTGCTTGGGGCACTGTCCTGTATACCAGAAGGTTGGGGGTTCTATTCCCGGTCAGGACATATGGCTGGCTTGTGGGTTTGGTTCCTAGTCAGGGCGCATAAGAAAGGCAACCAATTGGTGTTTTTCTTTCACACTGATGTTTCTCTCTCTCTGTCTCCCTTCCCTCTCTCTAAAATCAATAAATATTTTTAAAAAATTATAACTTCTCTTTAAAAAAAAAAGAACTCCAGGAGTGTAGAGACATACGGTAGTCAGCCTCCAAGTTGCCTCGCACACCCATGATTTTGTTTCCTGTCACCCCGTGACTTTTCCTCTTCCAATGAAAAGGACTCAGCTGTGTAACGAGCAGGATTTCGAAGAAATAACCAATGTGACTTCGGAGTCTGGGTCATAGAAGACATGGCGGTCTCCGCCTTTGACTGGTGGATCGCCTGCCCTAGGGGAAGCTGCTGCCGAGTGATGAGGACAGTCACCTGAGACTCAGACCCTCCAGCCCAGGAAGTCTTCGGACGTCTGAAGCCTGGCTGACAACTTGTCTCAGCCTGAGGAGGCGCCCGAGCCCGAGACCCCCAGCTAAGCCACTGCCAGGGTCTTGATTCACAGAAACCAGGGGGCCGGCCATGTCGCTGACTTAAGGTGCTAAGTTTTGGGGCGATCTCTCAGGTATCAGTAGATGCAGAAGGGGGTATGCTCTTTGCAGTGTATGGTCCCAGACCTCACCCCCCAGCCTACTGGTTCTGTGCCGAGGGGCTAGGAACCTCCGTGAACATCTCTGCTCTTCTTCCTTTTTACTGACCAGCCTCCCTCTCCTCCCCGCTCCCCGCTTCTCTTACAGTGCGGTTCCCAGAATGTCTGTCTGTCCAGGGCCTCCTCCCTTTCCACTCTGCACTCCCCGGGCAAGCGCATCCATGCTGTGGCTTTAAGGGACAGACTCGGGGCTGCTTGGGCCCACTTCTGCTCCAACCCCTCCCCGACCCCTCTGCAAAACACAGTTCTAATTCCCCACCGCCCGCTGGGTGTTTCCAGATGGATTTCCCTCCGGCTACTCAAATTCAACATCACTTTCACAACTACCCTCATAAAACCTCCTTTTCAATTGTGTCCCCTATTTTTATTAGCAGTTTACAGCTTGGTCTCTTTGACTCTAAATCTTGATATTATCGCTGTGTCCTCTTTTTTCTTTCTCTCTCTCTCAAGCCTCCCGGGGCCGAGACCTGACAAACCCCCTCTCCAGTGCCTCCCATGGTCACGGCCACGGCCCCTGTGTCTTTTAGGAATTGAAAACTACCAGCATGGTCAACAGATATCTTTGAGCTCCGTTGATTTGACGGCTATCAGGAAACCTTTACAAAACTGAGAAAAGAAATGAAATAAATATTCAAATGGTAGAGGTCAGTCACAGGACCTTGGAAATGTGGGAGGCTGCCCAACTCAGCCTCCAGAGCCCCAAAGTACACGCTTTAAGCAGGAACGAACTTCTGCTAGTCAAAATCTTAAAGTGTTGCTGTGCAAAACTGCCACCTCTAATTTTACTAAGCAAAAATAAATATATAAATAAAAAGGCCGAGTTTGATTTAGCGACTCCAAATTAATCCATCTTGAAGGAATTTGTTCCAGTTAATCCCAGTAAGAGTGGAGCCAGTGAAAGCTGAAATTTCCAGACTGCCATCGGTATGTGAGATTTGGGGAAAGCCGGTAGAGGCGAGGGATGCTTCGGTGGGGGCATCAGCAACATGGTATTAATAGCCGCCAGCTGCTCCAGGATAGCGGGGTGCCTCTGGTTCTGAAGTGCTGTCTGCCTCTGTCACCTCGTTGGCGCACATCCCTTAACTACCCTGGCTGGAGCCCGGGCCCATGGAGCCAAGTGAGCTGAGGAAGCCCTGTCTTGGGTGCGGGGGAGGAGCGGGAGGTGGCGCGGAGCAGCTGGTGGCCAGAGCCAGTGGGAACTGAGAGCTTCACCCGCTGCGGGGCGAGCACAGGCACCAGAAACAGCACAGACACAGCACTCAAGAGGAGAGCTCGCTCCACTAGGGGCTGGGAGAACAAACACCCCAGATCAGCTTGGGTCCCCATTCACGCCCGCAGAGAGGCCCTGTCCCCGCACCTAAATTTCTACAGCTGTATGGATCGCTCCTCCTCTGACCACCGGAGAGCGCCGCCGGGCGGAGGTTCAGAAGGACCGGTGCATTTCCAAGATGGGCTTAAAGAATCCTCGCGCAGGTCGCCTGCAGTTCGCAGGAAGTCAAATTGCTCGGCAACCGAGGGGGCATGCAGGACCTGGGCCCCGGGGAGGGGAGGGGGCTACGGGCAACAACGCTGGAAAATTGTAGCAATCGGCCACACCCCGTCCCACCAAGTTAACGCTGTCGGTGGTGAGGGTCAGGGCATAGGGACCGGCCGGCCGCGCATTCCCATCCCACGCTTTGGCGCCACGGCCGCGGCAGCAGCCTGAAGCAGAGCGCTCTCCCACGCTGGGGGCACTAGACGCCGCGTGGAGGCCGCAGCGGCACCGGGCTCTCGCTCAGCCCAGGCGGGGACCGCGGTCCAGCGCCAGGGAGCGGGCGACCCGGCCTCGCGCACGCGGGAGGGCGGTCGTCGGCACTTCGCTCCCAGACAGGTGCAAGCGCGCAGGCTTCCCATTGGTCGCGGAGGCGGCGGCGGGCCCCTTCCCACTCCCCGCCGGCTCTGGTCCCCTTCCTTCGCGGCCGCCGCGCGCCTCCGCTCCGCTCCCGCCACCTCCCTTCTTCCGCGCCGCCGCCGCCGCCGCGCGCTCTCGAGCTCAGGTAGCGGGCGCGCGGGCGCCTCCTCGGGGGCGCGCGGCCGGGCTGCGGTCCTCCCCCACCACCCCGCACCCAGCGGCTCCGGGAGCCAGGGGAGGGAGAGCACGGGCGGGGGGAGCCGGAGCCCGGCGCGGCCGCCGCCGAGGCTTCCAGTCTCTCTGGCTCGCGCAGCGGCGGCAGCAGAGGTCGCGCACAGATGCGGGTGAGACTGGAGGGGGGAGGCGGCGGAGGAGGGAAGGAAGCTGCATGCATGAGACCCACAGGTAAGACCCAGAGCTCCGGAAGGGGCTTTGCATCCTGGGGAGGCGCGCGCAGGCCCAGGAGGGGGAGTTGGTGCCTCGTTCTTCCCCCCGAGGAAGGGTTTTATTTTTTCTTTGACGGCGCAGGGCAATTTCATTGGGGCCCGGGCAATAGGACCCGTCCTCATCTTGGGGGAAAACCAGAGAAGTATCTTGGGGGATCCGGTGCCACATGTGAGATTCCTAAGAGTGACCTGTCTAGGCCCAGGAAAAAGTGGGTTTTCCGCCCTGAGACACGGGAAGGCTTGAGACTTTCCCGTCATGGTCACAGCCGCTGGATCCCGGGGACCGGCGCGGAGCCAGCGTGCGCTACCCCCGGCCCTCCGTCCCCTCCTCCATCCCTCCCGCACGCGCAGCATCCCGCCGCGGCTGTTACTCCGTGTACCCGCGCTGGGGGGATCTCGCCGTGGGAAAGGGGTGGGGGAGGACCGGGGATAGAGCCTAGAGCCGGGGAAGCTGAGCTTCACCCCCCGCCCCCGCGCCCCCCATCCCCGGGTGCCCTGGCTGAGGAGCAGAAACGTGGCCCCGGGAGCCCAGGCAGCCAGGGGTATTGTCGTGTTCGTTCCTGGTTGCAGACTCTTGCAAGCCGGATGCCCTCTGTGGATGAAAGATGTATTATGGAATGAACCCGAGCCATGGAGATGGATTTCTAGAGCAGCAGCCGCAGCAGCAGCCTCAGTCCCCCCAGAGACTCTTGGCCGTGATCCTGTGGTTTCAGCTGGCCCTGTGCTTCGGCCCTGCACAGCTCACGGGTGGTGAGTGACTCTGCTGTGACCCAGGGGGCCAGGACCGCAGGGAGGGGGAGGCTGGCTGGCAGGACAGCCCTGCCACTCCCGGTGCACCCAGACTTCTGGGGTACCCAGGAACCCGAGGAGCCCTCGTGCCCCAGTCTAAGACCATCCTTTTTCTAAACCGCTGGAGTTCCCCCAAATTCCTGGGGAGCCCACACAGCTTCACACACCCACCTTCTGTCTGGAGCTTCTCATCAGCTGCCCAGCCTGGCTTCTTTGAAGGAAAGAATAAGGCTGGCCTGTTATGTCACTTTGGCAGAAAGAGAGAGAGAGAGAGAGAGAGAGAGAGAGAGAGTGCGCGCGCAAGAGAGAGATCTGTGGCTAACGTGTGCTTGTGGACCTTAGTCTCTGCCCCCAGGAGACACAGGGCAGGTTTCAGTTGCAAGAGCCCCCTTCGCCAACGTGAAGGGTCTGAGAACAGGGCCGGGCTGGCTGCAGGACACGTTCCCTTGAAAGTTAACTTTCTCTATCCCTGGGAGGTGGTGTGTCCAGGCTTGTCTGTGTGGGTTGGGGGGTGGGGGAGGATGCAGAGGTCTTTTTCAGATGTGTTTCTGGAGGATTGCTTGGCGTCTCCAGGCCTGACTTATGGGGGAGTAAAGTCCAGTGCTTTTCTAGGAAGTGGAAGTTCGCTGAGATAAAGCCTAGCCTCAGGCCCATGGGCGGCTAACCTATAACACATCTGATTTCGGGGGAGCCAGAGAGCGAGGTCCTGTTCGCATTTCAGAGCCTAAGAACCTCCCCGCCCATCACTGCTGTCCGTTCCGTATTTTCTATGAGAGCTTGCTGATGTGTTCACCTTAAGAGGACAGAGTCACGTTCCAGAGCTGAGATACTGTTAATATATAAACAAATCACAGTTGCTGGAAAAACAGGTATTGATTGCTATGCATAAACCATCTTAGTGCTTCCAAATATTGCTGTTTCAGAGAATTCCAAGGTGAAGATGGAAAAAAAATATGTGAGTGAAAAATTAGCACAATATTAGGGTAATAACAAGTTGGGCCGGGATGCGGAGTCATCAATAGTGCAGGCCTGCCACTCGGAGGCGGGAGAGGAACCGTCTGGGACGTGCCTGCAGAATTAGGCAGAAGACCCTCGCTCTGCGGGGGGGGGGGGCTGTTTTGGGTTTTGGCTTCATTTTTCCTCCCACGAGGTAACTTTTTTGGTGCCCTTCCTTTTAGGGAACTGTCTCTGAGGCAGGTTTCCTCTTCACAGAGGGCAAAGTCAAATACAAGGCCAAGACGGCACCTGTAGGGGGCCCAGGTCAGAGCCTCTGCCGGGTACCGGATAGTAGGTGAAGCGACGGCTCATTTCCTTCCCCCTTCTCTTCTCTTGCCTTCGGTCTAGCTTTCATTCCCCCAAACCAGGGCCATGCGGTCTCCTGTCCTCTTGTTCCTTCTTTCCCTTGTAGATGGCAGATTAATCAGGGTCCACCTATGTACGTTTTGAGGGTTGTTTTTGGAGGCGTGAGGTCCAAGCCCGCCTCAGACTGGAAGGCTGTGGTCTTGGTCCTGCCACTCGCTCAAGAGTCTCAGGGTCTCAGAGCTCAGCACGCAGCACGGCCCCCTGCGCCCCCCATTAGTCGCCCACCCAGTTGTCGGACACTTCTCTGATGCCGCTCTTCCCACGGGAGCAGACATCAGGCAGAAAGATCCAGGCTTGAAGAAGAAGCTGGGAGGGAGGGCTGAGGTCAGAGGTCTCCCTTTTTAGGTGCTCGTACTGTTTCGTCTGGACCTCCTTCAGGCCCCGGCTGTGACTTCTGGGAGAACATCTATTATTTCAGAATTCCTCTTTGAATAAACAGTTTGGGTGGGGGAGGGTGGTAGGAGTGGTTTATGGATCCAGTTCGCTATTCAGAGATGCCTTTCTTAGGAAGGAAGCCCACGTGGTAGGGGGGTGGGGGGGGTGCTCCAGGGTAATAATAAAAGGAAATTCACTTTAATTCTAGACCTGTGCTGCTAAAATTTGAATGTGCACTCAGATCACCCTGGGATGTTGCTAAAAGGCAGATTCTGGTTCTGCTGGTCTGGGCTGGAGCCTGGAGTCTGTTTCCAACCAGCTCACAGGCGATATCCTTGCTCCTGGTGCCCCAGCCTAGTGTTAGCAGCACTTCGCACCACGGCCGGCCGAGGCATTCCTTAAAATGAGCCCGTCTGACGCGCGAGTTCCGACCGTCCCTCTCGTCACCCAAATGGGTATGGCCTGGGAGGGAGCAGGTGTCCCCCAGGGTCTAATCTTCAGATGAGACACAGAGCTGAAAACCAGCCTTCAGAGAGAGCGCGTTCTTTTACTTTATCACCAAAAAAGGTGCATATTTAATAGACACTGTTCTGAAATGTGGATTTTCATTTTTGATTGCTTTCAACGGGAAGGAAACGCCACAATAGCAAGCTATAATGGCTTCAGCTGGGAGGAAAAAAGCATGTGCCCAATACAAGTATGACAGAAAGAGCCTGAACTAGAAAGGGAGAAATTGAGAAAATGATCAGATGAAGAAAAGGGGGGAAAAAGTACTCTTATCAAATATGAAAAGCTTTGTCCTCCAACACCAGAGATTCAGTTCAGTTCTTTGAGCCCTAGGAGAGCTTTCAGGAGCCTGAATTGCCCACAGGTGAGTTTTGGGTGGCTCGTCTCAGGTTGTCTTGTAAGTTAGGAAAAACAGCCTTCACTTGGGGCCGCTAAGACCAAGTACCCGGAGGGGACTAACGTCAGGTTGGTTGGGAGACAGGGCTCCCTGCTGTTTCCAGAATCTGCACGAAGCTCCGCTGCTCTCCTCTTCCTCCGCCCCAGTTCCTGTTACCAGGGGCGGGATTTGGGGAGGTTTGAGGCCTTCCTGGAGTGGTCCACCTCGGCGTAGGGGAAGAGAGGTAACAGTTCACTCTGTACATTGGTCCTTGAAGACAGGCCTCTCAGCACATCCCTGTGTTACCGGGAACCCAGGCCAAGCGCTGCGTGCTCCCTGGCAGCTTTCGGGCCTTGAAAGCCCCATGAAACAGGGATGACGCTGCCTGCCTTTCAGGGTGGATGGGAGGGATGGAAGTCACAGAGGTGCTCCGTGAATGCAGAGAGTGGTCGTGAGGGGGTGCTGAGACAATGCTGTATGACCTGGCCTCTGAGTCACTCACTCAGTGCTGTTGAGTGCTTGTCCCGACCGTGTCCCAAACACAGCTGTGTATGACATTCTTTTTCCCTGTAAGAACCTTCCGTTATTTTTTGCCCAATGAACAAGCATCTCTTCAAGACCCAACACGCATGCCCTAATCTGTTTACTAATCTCCTTGGCGACTGAATTCTCCCCTCACCTGGGCTCCCACCACGCTGGGGGTAACCCTCCTTCCTGGCCTTGTCTCGCCGCTAGACCCTGAGCCCACCGAGGGCCAGACCCTTGCCTTCATTCAATGTTGTGTCCCAGGCGCCCAGGACAGCGTTGGACACAGAGAAGGTGCTCAGTGTTGGTGACAGCAAGAGAAAAGATTCCCCGATTACTGCCATGCTATTTAGAAAAGAATTAACATGGGTGGTCACAAAGTGCAAGAGTTTCATGGCATACGAGGCCACTTCCCTTCGGAGGGGATCTCAGAGGCTGGAGGAAAAATCAGGAAAGGCTCCCTGGAAGAGGTGGTGTTGCGGATGGGCTCTGAGGGAGGGGACGGTAGAAGCACCTCAAAAGGTTTAACTTTAATAAAAGAGAATTTTATTTACTTTTCAGTAATAGTTCCCGTACAATATTTTATATTCATTTCAGGGTACAACATAGTGGCGAGACATTTATGTACCTTGCAAAGCGATCGCCCTCGTAAGTCTAGTACCCATCTGATGCCATGCGTAGCTACTGCAGGGTGACCGACCGTACTCCCTAAGCTGGACTTGACATTCCCCATGATTGTTTTTATTACTGGCAATTTGTATTTCTCAACCCGTTACCTTTTTCACCCAGCCCCCCCAACCCCACTCCCACCAATTTTTTCTCTGTATCTATGAGTTTGTTTCTGTTTTGTTTGTTTATTTTGTTTTTTAGAGTCCACATATAAGTGAACTCTATATATGTGGCATGTGGCATTTGTCTTTGTCTGACTTGGCGTAATACCCTCAAGGCCCATCAAAAAAGTTAACTTTGAAGCAAGAATTGGAGAAGATGGTTTATGAGAGTCCCTAACTCCGCTCTCCAGAGTTTGATGGTGTGAGCCCAAGATGCTCAGTTTTAGGGGGAAATTTGGTGCAATATTTCCTCTCCTTTAAGAAAAAGAACCCTGTGCTTCTCTGAGACAGAAGAAATTACCCACTCAAGAAGAAAAACAAATAGAAATAATTGAGTTGCTCATAAACTAGAGTTAAAAATGCATGTAAAATAGCTTTTTAATTGAGAGGATTGTAATTGCTTTATTAGTTTTAAGCAAGGTAAACGGGGGACCTTAGAGAAGTACAAAAGAATACTTTTTGATGTTATCTGGGACTGGCAGTGAACTTGGGAGCACCGTGGCAGGAGCATCTCTCCCGCCCGTGTTTCCCTGCTCCTGAGTGAAGGCGCGTTCAGGGCCCAGGAGGGCAGGGGCGGTGGCCGGCCCACCTGTGACCCCGTCTGTGGATGGACAGCGTGGCCTCCAGACTTTTATTCTCAGAAGCGAGGGGGACTGCAGAGCTCTGTAAACTCCATCAGTGGTCATTTCACCATTATCCCATGAAACTGAGCTCTTCGAGAGAGGATGAGTCAGGTTTGTTTTTGGAAATAAAGGTTTGACCTGGCTGTCTCTTGTTTCTGTTTGAAATTGGTGACTTTAATCTCCTGGAATTAGCAGCGTGGGAGCCAAGCTATACAATGAGCTCCACTCAGGGGCTGCATTCCCTTCTCTCAATGGAACAAAATCCAAAAAGACCTTATTTCTTTGGTCTGATTGGATTTATCAAAGATAGAAGTGATTGAATCGGGTGAACCCGTAAAAGGAAGGTTCTTTTAAGAAAGAGAT